AGCAGACGTTAACCGTAAAAAATCAATGAAGACGAGTTAAGAGGTCGACCAAACTTAACTTGCTAACTTGCTAAACTAAACTTGCTTTCGCTACAGCAGCCTTGGCGAGTCTCTTGGGAGTTGTTCTTGGCCAGCGCTTGTAGGCCGACTTCATCTGCTTGCCAACATGCTGGGGTTCATCGTACAAGAACACTGCCTCCTTGTCCCCTCGGATCGCCCTCAGGGATCTGGGATCAAGCATCCAGCACCTTCTATTGAAGATGTTCTTTTTCAACTCTGTGCAGCTTCCGCCATCGGATTCTATCGCTCAGTTTTTATCTTTCTATTTTGGAAAGATCGATGGCTATGCCTGCTATGAGAGCCTGTGTCGCAGAGCTAGATCTTCTCCAAGCAGTTGTTTTATGTCCTTCTCTATGGGTGAACATCTTACGAGTACGTAGTCTATTTCTGTTTCTTTCCCCCACTGCTGTAAGTTATCTTCTAATTTCCCTTTTAGCGAAGAAGTAGCTGCACAATGCGAAGTCGTGGGCTATGGTCACGTTGAGGACCCTTTCTCCTTCTTCTTTTGTGACTCCTTCTCCTTTGCCTCCGTGGATTCCTTTGAAGCTCCTTCCCTCCTTGTTAACAAGATCACCCGCTAGTGTGGGATAGTCCCTAACCAATAGGATGGCCTCGTCGAAGCTTAGATAGAACTCACGGAGTAGCCTGCCTGTGGTGCGTGCACGATATTACTGTCCAGTATTATTCTTTCGTGTCTATCCTCACAGCCATGATTCTACTGCTGATCCTCTTGACGGTGGAGACAGAGCCCTGAGGGGCTCCGACACTGCCTGCTATGGCCACACCGTTTCGTTAAGTGTCTTCTTCGTCATAGAGAAGTTTGACATCCTCTCCGATTTTCCGGCCTTTTCTCCATTCCAGCGGGTTTCCTGAAGGTGTCCTGAAGGTAGGGCTTGGATGTTCCTGCTCTTCTTGTAATCCCTTCGGGACTTCCCAGTAAGCGAACCCACCCTCAGAGTTCCAATTTGAACAAACTTCTTTGACCGAGGTCGTTCACTCCTCGGTAGTCCTCCCATACTGTATACAAGACTCGGGCCCCTTTTTAAATCGGAGGGATTGTTGAGGGAGTGCAAGGAAAGCAAGAAGACACATGGACATCGTGAGAAAGGAGGCTTCCTAAAAGTAGTGAAAACGGACTCTGTACGAGATTACCATGACCAAGATTATATTAGGTTGATGCATAATTATTGCGGATTTTTTCGCGGCTTTTTTTCTCTCGATAGAATTTGAATATTAAGTTCGGGTTTTTTCTAGAAATGATCTACTTGATTTCCTCTA